AGCAAGTCGACTCCATGCTGAGCAAGGATGGAGGCGAAATGAACGGTATCCTCGGATCGCCAAGAAGGAACATCCGACAGAGACTTTTCCAGACATTCTGTTCCTGAGATTCTATTCGAAGATAATCAATGACAGAAAAGAACGAGAGCTGCTAGTCCTTACCTGAAGAAAAGAGGCATCGACTCAGGAATGACACTCCTAACCGCGTCAACAACCTCCAGCGGGAATCGAATCCGGTTCTCGAAGCTACCACCATACTCATCCGTGCGCTTGTTACTCGTGAGAGACAAGAACCCGCACAACAGATACCCATGTGCACCATGAACTTCAACGACATCAAACCCGGCCTTGACGGCCCTCAGCGCGGCCTGCTTGAACGACTCTACAAGGCCCTTCAAGTCCTCCCTGCTCAATTCCTTTGGTGTCGCGTAGCTGTCCGCGAACGGAATAGGCGAAGCGGCCACCACATCGTCAGGCCATCCACCCATTTCCACCCCTACGAGATTTGGTTCTTCAATCCAAGGTGCAGCTGTCGAGGCTTTACGACCTGCGTGAGCGATCTGGATAGCAATCTTCTGGTTCTGGGAATGCGCGAACTCGACGATCGCAGCGAGGGGCGCAATGTGGTCGTCAGACCAGATTCCGAGGTCATTTGGGGTGATGCGACCTTCTGGAACGACTGCGGCAGCCTCCACGAAAGTCAGACCTGGGCCTCGTGTGAAAATGCCTCCGACTACGAAGAAGTGAGTTCGCAGAAGACGATTGGTACTTTGAATAGAAGGACGAACGATGGCCGATATGCCACGGGGTAGCCATACCACCTTCACACGAGCTTTGGCACAAAGGCGAGAGCTAATGGAACCAATCTTCGGTTAGTGAACGGAAACTCAGTCAAAGAGATATGGACACACGAAGATTCTGTTCTGAAAGGTCATTCCGCGGATGGTGATTGGCTGGAAGAGACTTGGAATCTGTTTTCCATCCGGCTGAGGTACGAGAGCCGTGCCGGCAGGAGGGTCCTGGGCTGGAGTGAAGAACGAGACACCAGGAGCAGCGACGACTACAGAGGAAATAGCCATTGTTGAAGATAGAGAAGAATAATGGAGGCCGCTGCTTTATACATTCATCATGCATCGTTCCGACCTGAGACAACCGAGGGTGAGTAAGAATTGATGATTTGGCATCCCCTCCAATTTCCCACTGTCCGAGCGGAAAAAAGGAGACGGCGCACGGCCCATGATCTCCGTTTTCGTAGTCATTTGGATACAGTCACACATATCTAGTATTATGTTGGTTATCCTCGAAGACGCTCGATAAAAAAATGCTTACCAGTGAGTACTAGCCTCGCCCTGATAGGCAATTTCTAAGTCTATGTATTTGAATAAGCGGCAATCGAGGAGAGCTGCGCTTATTGTGATAGATTTTCCGGCTTGTACTGCCGCCGGTAGTAAAGGCCTTCTGAAATCTGCCCAGCATGACTGAGACGGAGTAGAGTATTGACATCCATGAAGGCACTAACCCAACTTGCAAAACTCCAAAAATCAATGCTCTCCGAAAACATTGCTGTTAAATTTACTGAAATACAGCGTTCGGGCTGCACCAGTCGCGGTGAACAATCGGAGAAACCTATGTATGGCCCCTTGGTAATCAGATAGAATAGCCACGAGGACAACATGAGAAAAGGAATTTGCTTGGTGACGTAAAAGGCTTCGGACTTTCTAAATCTCACTTTGCACCTGCTCGAAAAGTACTTTTGTTCGTTTCATGACTGTTGATGAATGCCCCACTTTTCCAACCTCACACCCGTCATGTAGAAATCACCTTCGGCTGACGGCAGGACTCGCTCGATGGATTTTCGAGCTCACCAAAGTACGACATCATCTCAGGACGACGGGCCACATTATTTTTTGCAAGGTAGCCGATGCAGCTGAAAAATGTGTCATCTTCAGGGTTAAGAAAGAGAAGGAGAGGTATGATGGCGATTACATCTGCAGCACCGAGACACGACAGCCATGACTGAGAACATTCCATAGCAGACAGGACTTGGTTCGCAGGAACGACGGACGAACGATCAAGAGACGATCTGACAGCTTGCAAAACGACCTGACTGTCGTCGTTCACGGTATCTACCATCCTTGTCCTTGAACATGCGTGAGAACGGCTGAAAAGCAGCGTTACCCACGTACTTATCTGAATATAGTAGATCTGCCGTGCTGACCTCTTCCGCAACAATAGTGAGAAAATCGAGGATAGGGCGTGTCTGGGCATCGCTTCCAGAGAAGTGCTTGACACAGGATAAAATCCAATCTGGTCAATGCGTACGGTGTTGTGGAGCCAGATTTAGCGCTAAAGAACACATTTGTCGAGATAGCCATTAAACGGAGTGATGAGAGGGTGTAGAAGAGGCATTATGTACAGAGATAAAGAGCTTCCGAAGAATAACATTATTTCTTCCAACAATGATCGAGTGCGCTGCTAGTTGAGTGAGCAGATCGCGGAATGGTATAGCCAGGTCCTCTGGAAAAGACAACCTACAAATTATTTCGGTCTTGGATCGTCTCAAGTCAGAGTAGCCACTCACCAATCGCGTGCAATCTTCACTTGCACGGAAGAATTGAACATTCGGGTCTTCAGAAGGACAAGGCCCCAGGCTTCTGGTCGCTTCTGTATCTCAAAGAGCTCTTGCTGGCGCAGCCTAAGTTAGTCTGGCGGCAGAAAAGAGTTGGGCTGTCCGTACGCCTGGAGAATCAACTTGAATGATACCGGTTACTCTTGCGCGTCAGACTTTGCTATATTCTCTTTCTCTTCGTCCTCCTCTAGGTCGCAAACAATAATGTGGAGGAGCATAACAAATTGGAACTTGAAGAGTTAGTCGACGCATGAATGTGCTGACACTTCCATATTATTTGAAAGGATAGGAAATGACAAGATGATACTTAGAAAATCTGCACAAGAAAGAAAGTGAGCAAGATAGAATGGGCAAGAAAGAGTCTACGAACCCTCTCAGACTACTTTGCAGCCTTTGCTTTCGCCTGAGCGTTCCTCTTCGACCGTCTCCTTCTCTTCTTCTTCTTCTCCAGCGTTGATGTCGGTGTAGTCCTCGAAGTAGCTGTGGGGTTTGCCCCTCTAAGCCTCGTCCCACCGCCCTTTAACGTCTCCGTGACGATAGGACTGGCCGCTGGCCTGAACTTGAACTGGTCCGAGTACCTGCACAAGTCAGTGCGAGAACAACTAAGCACGGACCTGGGCACACCTAGTAGCATACACGACCTTGTTTTTCCTCCCTAAGTGTCGCTGGCGCGCAGTGTATGCCAGCCAGAAAAGGAATCCGACAAAAATGAGGAAGGCGACTCGTTTGAATGAAGAGGAACGAGGCGGTGCTGATGAGGTCTCCTCGGGCTCGTCCTCCTCATGCTTCGTTTCTGGTCGCTGTTCAGGTTCGTGTTCTTGACCTTGAGAGTCGGACATGATGGTGGTTGTTGAATTGAAAGGGCAGGTCATCAGGAAACATCATGGATGGCAGTACCCGATGCCGCCGTGCCGGGCGATCGTGGTACTTATCACGAACTTTTCCTTCATATTAATGTTGCTTTGTCTATTTTCCTCGCCAGTACTTAGCACTCAGCGCTTGGATACCGTCGTCGCAACGAATGTAAGTGTGCAATTTGAGTTGTTCTGCCAACCTTTGATTGTTGACTGCTTCATCGCCAAAGTTGATTAAGCGTTCAGTATAGATTCATGCACTCCCAGGGTTACTACTAATACAGATTCAATATACTGGAATGATGCGGTATTATTTGCCCCACGAGACCCGAAGACCCCGAATGATTCATATCAGTTCTAGTCATTGCCTCCGGGTCCGAGGCTGTGTTTCGATATATAGGCTGCACACAGGTCTCCACGAAGCTCTCAACCGTTAGCTGCCATGATCGCGCGTCGTGCACGTCAAAGATTCCAGGGTGAACCAGCAGCCCCGCCCCGGAAACTCATGCTGGGAAAATCACTGGAATGCAACCCCCAAGTAGCTTCACCACTGTTCTACGCTATCCCCCCCGAAATCCGTAACATCATCTTCCAGCTCGCTCTACGCAGCTACCCCGACGTATCCAGGCCATACCCTGGCAATGCCTACCATTTCCGTCCGGGATATGAATGTGGTCAGCGCATAGACATGGGGCTCCTCCTCACTTGTCGTTTCATCTACAATGAGACTCGTCTCCTGCCTGTCGTCAGCAACGAGCATGTCTTTTGGTGTGACCGCGGTCCGCCTGGGTTGAGAACGGAGCCCGCCACATACTTCCGTAGAATGGCGGAGGAGCAGCAGAATGTCGTTGACTGCGTGCACTTCTTCGCGCAACAGTATTGGCTCGAACAAACCTTCCCGAGGATATGTTCGACCACCGAAATGCGTCCGAGAAAGCTGAAGATTACGATCAGGCACTCGGATTGGTGGTACTGGGAGCGCAATCAGCTGTTGGTGCTAAAGGACAATTGGACGAATAAGATGTCACTGCTGAGGCGCCTCGAAGAATTCGAGATCGAGCTGGAGACTTTTGAGAGGGACAAGGACCATGTTTGCATTCAATTGACTGTATGCTTCTCAGTTGACTCATTGTCGTGTCCGCCCAGATGCTTGCGATAGCGCAGAAAATACGTAACTGGAGGATCGATCTCTGGGACGGGCGCAAACTGAGCACCGAAGGATGTCCCCTTGTTCATGACAAGTGGACAGGAACGTCTGTTTTCGAAGGAAATGTTGGGTATGATAGGGAAAGGAACATTTGGGTCCAGAGGCGCGGTATTGTAGGCCCCGCTGCTCCTTTGGTCTACCATACGGTAACACTCAAGTGGACCGCCGTATAAGGATAATTGTATAACTTTTTTATAGTGCTCACTGGGATAGGCAGCATATATACCGCGAGATGGGAGCTTGAAATGAGTTTCAGATGTGCAATTGTTCCTTTTAATATAATATAAATACATATCTAAGTATCTTGTATGGCGCTATAGTGTAGTGGCAGCACATGGGATTCTGATTATTAGGTAATTCCCATAACCCAGGTTCGACCCCTGGTAGTGCCTTTCCTTTTTGAGTTCCTTGTACTGCAACTGTACATCATGCATTCAAGGTTTTAACTTTTGAGTCTTGACTTTTTTTCCGGCGATGATTGTTTGAACATTTACACCGTTAGTATATATCACCTCAATGTAGTTTCTTGGGTAAAACTTGACGGTAGCAAGCGGCAGATGCCGAATCCACAAACTACCGTGCATCCTCCTTTCCTTTGCTTTTTTTCGGCAGGTATTCAAATTCCTACGCTGATGAAGACAGAAAGAAAGAAAGTCGGTCAAACTACTGCCGTCCTGTTCTGAAGGAAAGAACATCTGATGTTTAGGACTCTCGTAGTCAATAGCGAGACCCGTACTGTTTCAGCAGGGGTCTCAACTGCAAGTAAATGTCATGATCCAACCTACCGAACTTCTTCAACATTAAATTTTGCTCTCAGAGTCGCCCAGAACCCCAAACATTTTCTTCTGTTCCTTCTCATTCAATCCAGTTTGTTCTATGATCATGATCCTTCGTTCACCGTAGACATTTATTGAAAGCTGCTGAATCTGTGAATATGTTATTATGTGCGGAAGCCTTGATCTCTCACAGCTATAGAGTTATCCGCGTTCCGGCTACACAGTATACGATGCTTCACATGAACCATCACAAGGCGCTTTCGAAACATCGATAGTAAATGGCAACATTGCCTTCATCAAAGTGGGGTACATCAGAAGTTATCTCTGGAAAGGTTACGGAAGATCTCTCATCCATCTATGCCCAAATGTATACCGCACTGGTACGTATAATCAGATAAGAAATCAACAAAGTAAACGCAACGGAGCTCGCAAACTCACCTCTCCGTTCCTTGACCCAGAGAATGCCTCTCGCCATCAGCTTGGGCATCTGCGCTTCCACTTGTTCCAGTAGATTGTCTTCGATAGACGAATACCCCCCACAAAACCGCTCTCCACATCTATTATGGGGACGATGAAGGATTATTACGATCCTGGCCAACGAACCCGCACGTGAATCAAAAAGCGTATCAAATTCTTGCCAATTTACGGCAAAGAGTACATTGTCATCCCACCCGGGCCCTACATCCACTATAAGTGTCTGTATTGAGCTGGAAAAGGGGATATCATGAAGATGATGCCGTTTCTCCAGGGAGGTACATGCGACATGCACGGATCGGAGGTTGGTGTTCGAATTGATGGAGAGTGATTCTGTTCGAGGAGGTTAAAAGCCGTCAATATAGAAAAAATGTCCTTCAAATTATGATACCTACTAGATGGGGAGCTCACCAATCCAAGAGTTAGATGCTCCAATGAGCCGCCGATGTTATCCAAGAGGCTCTGGAGAGCGTCTACAGAGTCACTGCTAGCCACGCACTCAGTTGCTACCTGACAGTTCACGAACGTGAGTGACATCTATGCAGCTGGGATAGCCCCTGGTCAACGCATAAATCTCGTGAAGATGTATAGCACGGCCAGCGAAAGCAAGGGATCTCAGCTGGAAGAGGCATGAGATATTTGAGGGAACGACGGGAACGTTCACAGTTCCGGCCGTGTTATAACGCAAGCTGTTAGTGAATGAAAAATGTTTCACAGCCCTTGCTTTCGAAAGGATAGCAACGAGGTTTGATCGTGCGTCAAAATCTATCCCAACCAAGTCTAGCTGGGTTAGCGTCGGCCGTGATAGTGCCATTTCCACTGCATCCTGTAACTTTTGAGGAAATCTGTCCCACTTCATTGCAGGATAGTACGTAAGGCTGAGATGATTCAGCTTTGGGAGTTTGGATGGTGAGAGGATGGAAGGGAGATAGTTGTCCGTGCAGCTGCGCTCGGTGAAGAGACTTCCAGAGCGTATGCCCACTCCGTACCCACCACAGAGTTCGAGCAATTTAACAAGAGCTGCAACCCATGGTGCTTCCTCAAGAAGCTGTAAGAAGTCCTCGCAAGAATATAGCCTTCCATGGATATCACAGTCTCTGATAGCCGAACTGTGCACAAGAGCTACTTCTGAAAAGAGGTGAACCCGGCAGGAAGGAAGAAATGAGCGGCAAGCCAAGGCGCAGGATTGGAGAGTAGAAATGTCGTCGTAGTTGTAATCTACGATCTGGTCGATGACTTCGGGTGGCAACGACAAAGGATTTGGATTTGAAGCCATGATCACTTGGCTGACGCCAAAGGCTTATTCAGAACTTCACTCCAAAGATAAGAGAACGTGCTCTACCTTGAACGTGATAGATTACTTGCAATGCTCATGAAGTCGTGGTGGTTCGGAGGTGGGATAAATTAATTCGGCAGTCGGACCGGACGGGTAACAGGATCAATCTTAATCTGGAAACCGGACTCCCATTCAAGTTTATCGATGGTTTAACGTTTGTCGATAACGAACAGTACTCGGTAGATAAATGCAAGATAAACCAATCATTGTCTCCCCCTGACGAACATCGTTGCGAACCTTTTTACAACAATCAGAGAACTATTCTTTATCAAAGATTTTGCGCTTACCCGATCCCCGCTACACGTTTATGACTGGGAATCCTTCTGCTGGGAGATACGTGTAGGGACGATGGTTCTCAAGCTAGACTACCTGAAGTTCTCTATCCCATTTTCGTCCAAATATATGGCGAACTAAAAAATGCAAAGATATGGCCTTAGTAAGGACTTGTATCATGATAACGGGGGATAGACACTTACCTCTGCGCTCCTTCAATCGTAGGATTCCTCGTGCCTGAAGCATAGGCATCTGGGAAGCCACGTGGTCAAGCATATCGTCATGAAAGATATTACCGCCGCTGCACGTATATGGTCCACAATCCCCATGCTCCACATGGAATATTATCTCTACTCTCGACAGCGACGAGAAACGCGTAGATTGATTCAGAAACAAGTCGAGCTCCTTCCAATCTCCCGCTTGGAAAACATCGCTCTTCCATTGGGGAGCCACGTCCCAAGTCAAGGATTCTAAGCCCTTATGAATCGGGATTCTTTCGGTATCAACCCGGGAGCTAACAATGTGTATTGTACGGAGATTTTTATTCTTGTTGACATTTATGGGTTCTATAGATTATGTTTAGAGTCAATGAAAAACTGATAGGCCATTTCAATCCACATACTGAAGTAGAACCTGAACCGAATGTAAGATGCCGGAGGGAATCACCAATAGCATCTAGAAGTTTTTGAAGGGCATTAAAGGACGCTTGATCCTCGAAGAGACTGTCAGAAGATAGTGCTAATTCGCGAATATGCGTCAGGTCGAAGTATGCTGATACAAACGTGTTAACGTGGGCTACATCCAACGGCCGGCCCGCGACAGTCAGCGACTCGGGACGGACTCGGGGTGATTGTACATTGATGGAGTTTGGGAGTTCCCAAAAGTTGATACCTCTAGTGTTGACATAGGAGAGATGTTTTAGGCGATTTGGCTTCCTGGATGACTTCAATAAATTCAGCCACATCTTCAAAAGAGAGAAAATCAACATCTAGCTGGGTGAGAAGAGGAAGCATTCCGACAAATGCTGCTCTAATATTGGCGTTTAATGTGCCCCATGACTGGGATGGTGCATTGCTGAGGACCAGGTAATGCAGATGGACAAGCGAAGATAAGATAGACGGTAGAATAGCGGCATACTGGGGGTCTTCCAAGAGGCGGGTACTGCCATTTAACGGGTGTCCTTGGCTCCTATTATGAAGGACGAGCGTTTTGACAAGGCTAGAAACCCATGGAGCCTCCGATAGGAGTGAGATAAAATCCTCGCATGTGTAAAGTCTTCCCGTTATGTCCTGTATGATAGACATCCCTGGCGCGGGATCGAGAAAATGCTCATGTACAAGTATAACTTCAGAGAAAAGATGCACTCTGCACGAGATTAGAAATGAATGGGACGCGAGGGAGGCAGCTTGGAGGGTAGGAATATTATCGTAGTTGTAGTCAATTATCTGATCAATAATTTCTTGAGGCAATGCTGAGGACATTCTACTGCAAAAGTGGGACTAAATAATGTATCACAAGAAAGTATTTGGAGCAGACCTTGGATAGTTTGAGACTGGGCTACTTGGTCGTTTGGTTCGAGTTTATCAACAACACAGCCACAGCCACAAAAAGGCTCTGAGCCTCTAAGATAAGCTCGCACGATGTTCTGGAAGTAACTATCGAATCTCAGTTTGCTTAGATCGAAACTGATGGATATGTATGTAAGATAGTATTAATATTATTTTTTTGGATACGTAGTACTCAAAACAAAACAAAAAATGATGCCCATTAGACGCTAAATGCCCACTAGTACAAGGACTCTGTATCGAGAGGAACGGGGCAAGCGGTGTGATAATCAGGACACCCGCCGCTCCAATTATGTGTCATAGCCGTCTTTGCAGACGCTAGATCAGAAAATAATCGTCAATCAAAAGGATATCGCGCGCTGGACGAAGAATGACATACCAGCATTCCTAGTCCACAGATTACCTGTGATACTCGTAACCGCCATCGAGCACGCTTTAGATACATCTGCACTACCGTTTTCCCCAACCCGCTTTAGAATGGTGATGCCGCCTGCACTGACAATCTCTTTCCTAATGGCGGACCCTCCCACGTCACCCAAAAAGCTAACAGCCAAAGCCATCTGCATATGGATCTGCGGGTGTGGCTCGTCAGCGACCGTTCTTAGCGCGGCCAACAGCGCGTCCACAACTCCAGCGTCTACAAGCGCCTTACGTGTTCCGCCTCCCCATTCGGCGCAGCTAAATCGCTGGATGGCAAATGCGAACGAACCCAATGGTTCGACGATTTCCGGCGGCAATACGCTCGGCAAGCGGGAAAGGCCTCGCGCAACGTCGGCGTCTAAGAGCACCTTGGCCATGTCAGCGCTGTTTGGTCGCATCATGCAGCCTACTGCGCGCGCAGCCCACATAAGGACCGACGGGTCATTCGACGACGTCAAGTGGAACGAAACAACTGATACGCATCCTTGTTTATATAGGGCCTTCGAAAGCTTTATGGTGCGAGCGATTCGAGCGACTGCGTAAAGTCC